CCGCCGGATCCGCCATCGCCCGCTAGAGCGTTCCTCCCCACCGGAGCGCTCCTCTCCGTCGAATCCGCCGCCGGCGTGCTCATCCCCGCCAGATCCGCCACCAACGCGCTCATCCCCGCCGGATCCACCACCAGCGGGCTCCTCCCCGCTAGATCCGCTGCAGGCGGACTCATCCCCACCGGATCCGTGCCGTGGTGGAGCCGTGGACGGAGTGGAGGAGGGGCATGGCCGGGAGGGGCCGGGGCGCCCTGCACACCGCTGTGAGGGGCCGTTGCCGTGGCCGCCGGTGCCACTGGTGCCCTGTACAGAAAAGATAGGGTTTCACAGAGTGCACCGGACGCTGGTCACGCAGTGACCGGACTCTGACCCTGCGTTTGGTCAGTAGCAGCAGTGAGTGCGCGGTCTTGGTCTCGTGATCGGACGCTGGTGCGAAGAGTGACCAGACGCTCAGGGCCTGCGTCCGGTCAGTGCTGGCGTACGCTGACATGGTAGCGTGAGGAACAACTGTGACGCGTGGCAGTTGGAGAATGACCGGACTTAGGTGCTGCCTCCGTTCGTACAGGAGCGGACGCGTCCGGTCGCAAAACAGAGGTTTGGGGAGCTCTCTGGAAACGACCAGACTCAGGCTGGTCCGCGTTCGATCGCTTATAATCGGACGCATTCGGTCGCGACTGGAACCTTACTGGAAGTGACCAGACGTTGGGGTCCTGTGTTCGGTCCTACACTGTAGAGCGTCCGGTCATGACTTAAGTGCACTGATGACCGTTGAGATCGGGCGATCAGCGTTTAAAGCCGATGACACATGGCAAGCATCGGGCAACCGGACCCTAGGGTCCTGCTTCCGATCGATCTGACCGACGCGTCCGGTCGTCCTGACTTTTCAGGGTACAGAGAGCCAACGGCTCTATTCGTGGGGGCTCTTTATTTAAGCTCCATTACCGGTTCTAGCTCACACGCTTGGCCATTTGCATTGACATAGCAACCTTGTGAGCTTAGGCAAAGCCCTCGCACTCATCTCCATCATTGATTCATCATCTTTGTGAGATTGGGAGAGAATCCAAGTGCATTGCTTAAGTGTTTGCATCTAGAGGCACTTGATGTTTGTGTTTCGCTACGGGATTCGCTTGTTACTCTTGGTGGTTGCCGCCACCTAGACGGCTTGTAGCAGCGAGGATCATCGAGCGGAGGTTGGTGATTGTCTCCGGCTCCGATCGTGGTCATTGTGAAGGGTTCTTGACCTTTCCCCGGTAGAGAGTCAAAAGGTACTCTAGTAAATTGTCCGTGGCTTGTGTGATCTTTATCTTGTGTTGGTTGTGCGGCACCCTATTGAGGGTTTGGCGTGTGATGCCAATTAGCGTGTGAACCTCTAAGTGAGTGAATCGCCACAACGAGGACTAATTTGCCGGTAAGCAAGTGAACCTCGATAAAAATCATTGTGTCATCAGTTGATTCCGAGGTGATTGACCTTCATTGATATTTATTCTTGTGATTGATTGGTTTATTCCTCGACTCGGCGGTATAACCATATTGCTCACTCTCTCTTTACATTGTCGAAAACTAGTTGTCAAGTTCTTTAGTGTAGCTAGTCGTGAGAGCTTGTTAGTTTGGTTAATGTGACTCTTTAGTTACTCTTTGAGAGCACACTAACTTAGTGTAGTGACATAGCCATTGTGTAGATAGAGACTATATAAACTAGAATTGTGGTAGGTGGCTTGTATTTTTAGTATGCTAGCGCAACACTCGCTTCGCCTCTTATTTGTCTAACCGGTTTGCTAAGTGTTGTTGTAAAAAATTTTAATAGACTATTCACCCCTCTCTAGCCATCAGAACCTTTTATCCGCATCGTGGCCACTGAGGGAGAGAGAGACGAAGAGAGAGAGAGATGGAGAGATGTGTTCGGCTGAGGGAGAGGAAGAGAGAAATGGAGAGATGGGGTGCGGCTGATGGGCTGGGTGAGAGGGAGAGAGATCGGATAAGTGACAGTGAAACCCATATATATATATATATTAGAGTGGATTTTATTACACGGGTGTTATGTATCCCCTCCCGGGTGATAGCTATCCATGCACCTGATGCATTCCACGTGGTAAGATGAACGGTTGTATTGCATCCACCAATTGTGGCATGGACCACATGCTGCGGGATGGAACGACCGTCAGATGTGGATGGGGCTGGTGGCCACTAGTCGGTCTCCACATGGCCATCCGGGCCCGTCTATCAGTGACTCAAAGAAAACATAGATGAAAGAGAGCTCCTGTAAAGATGCTAGTTCCATTGGATTCCATTTTTTTGTCCGTTTGTACATGGAGCTTTTGACTGTACCCGTCGCTGTACAGCTTTGCAAGCCCCTTAATTATGCCTGTTTTCGTTGTCATATTGCTTAATCAAGCTTCAAATTCTAATATCCAATTTAACCATACATGTGATTTCTAATCTGTTTTCACCATAATATTTCTTATCATTTTATCGAATTAACCTTCATCTGACACCCACGGTTGGACCACTCAAATGTTTGGCGCATCTGGACCTCCTAATCTGGTTTGGCCATCAACTTCACGTGCCCTCACGGAGCTGGATTGGCTACTCATGTTGATTATCCTTTTTTGAAGAGTAAAAAAAACAAGCTTTTTTATTTTTCTTTAAAATTGATCAAACTTAAAAAAATGATTTCGCTCAAGCATATAAATTTATTGATTTTTTATGGAGGGGGTACTCAATGAAGCGATGGCTGCTACTGCTTTATGTGCCAAGTCAAATTTTAGTATTATTCTATCATGTTTTTTTTTCAAGAAAATATGGCATGTGAGATCTTATTTTGTAGGTAAAATTACAAGAAATATTAGGATGAAAACAAATAAAAATCAGATGTATGGTTCATTAGATATTAGGATTTGAAGCTTGAACATCTAGCAATTTTTATGCGTTCAAGACCAGAAGCTGGCACGCGTACGTGCCCTGGCGCCCTGGCCCCCACTTGGTACTGGGAGTCTGGGACAAACGCGTGTGGGACACGGGTATCTCCTTTTTGCTTGGACAGAGACGAAACGGGTAGGTCTGCTCCGCATCAGCAGGGGAGGGTGGCTATCCTCCCGGGGTGATAAAAAACACCGGTGCAACCAGGATATATACTCCCTCCGGAGAAAGTAGTTGTTCTAAGCACCGGCGTCATTTGCGCAAAGGAAGTGGTTTTCCTTCGCTAACTTTGTTTTGGACGCGAATACCCTTGACCCTTCGTTAACGGGCTCATTTATTTAGTTACCAGAGTAAATCACGCCGTGGTCCCCTCCGCTTCTCTCCTTGCTTGCTTGCTCGCACGCACGGCCGCGCAAAATCCAAAATTCGCGGCATGCAAGCATTAGCCGCAGCAGCTGCATGCATAGACGAAGATCCAAAATTGGCGGCATGCAAGCATCTGCACAAAAATCGCGCTGCTAGGGAGATGCGTCCGTGCAAAAATCTGCCGCCAGGAGCCCAAACGAGCAGAAATCTTGCTCCAGGGAGCCCAAACGAGCAGGCCATGATCTAAAATTCGCAGCAAAACATCTGCACAAAAATCTCGCCGCCAGTAGATGCATCCGTGCAAAAATTATGCGAGCAGGCCATACAAAAAAAATGTGCACGCCAGGGCATCGAACCCAGGACCTCGAGACACTTTCCTCGCTGCGCTAGCCATTTTGAATTGTGGTTGTTTTTCGCATGAAATGCACCCGCAGCCGTATTTAATAGGGGTAGACAGGGGAAAATACACCTTAATTAATGACTCATTGGTAAGTACAATCATGTCATAAACGACTTCTAAATCCGATATGGAGGGAGTATATATGGGCTGTGGGCCGCTATTTTCCGAGATGGGCCATATAGCGCGCCCGCCTCGAAAATGTATTAACCGAGGCGGTAACACAACCGCCTCGATTAATAGGCATTAACTGAGGCGGCCGTTTTAGGTTGCCTGCCTCGGTTAATAATTAACCGAGGCGGTTGCTGGGCCGGCTGCCCGGTCACCAAATAACGGAGGTGGGCAACCGGCCCGCCCGCCTCCAAGGCTGTTTGTTAAACGTCTCGGTTAAGTTTTATTGTAGTAGTACGGCTGAACTTCGGCGACCTCCACTTCAACGGCGACTGTTAAGCTTCGAGTCAATATGACAGACGACAGTCGTGATTACAATATCTTTAGCACATCTAGGGCCCAATTGACGCCCCCTAACGCCCATTATGGGGATGAAACCACAATGGAGGGAGGGCCGACAAAAGGAGCGTGAGGAGATCCAAGAGAAGGGATCATGGTCTCGTTACCGACATTTGTTGAGACAAGGCAATCAAGGATCATGAAGAATAGAAAAGCTAGGACATTGGCAGCGTAGTTTGCTGGTTAGAACTTGTGCGGTATCATCAAAGAGGAGGAGGGCTAGATCCTCGGCGCAGGGAGGTGCCAATGATCTCCAAAACAACGCCTCCAGGAAGGGAATGACATGGGAAGATGCCACCGTTGCTTGTCCGGGATCACCGGTTTGGGTTTTCACCCGGAGATCAAACTCAACAGGATGGCAGATGGAACCTCGATGACGCCTCCAAGAAGGAATATGACGCACGCGGACGCCATCGTCATCAGCACCGACAACAAGCTGAGCAAGACTTTCATCTAGAATCCCCTGAAACCGCCTAGCATCACAGCAGCAACGCGCCCACGCGTCCACCATGCTATCACCGCTGCCGCAGGCACATGCATGGCCGACGCCTTCGTTATGCCCACCCGGTCTCTGCCCTCCCTATCAAGAGGCAGAGTCGGCTCTCAGTGGCCGAAGATGGCCATAGAGAGTGGCACAGAGGGGAGGGTGCCCATGGGCACGCGGCCCCGCCGTCGGCTTGCCTTCGGCCAAACCGCGCTCACCGTTCCACTGCTGGACCCTGCAAACGCATGCGTACGGGCACGCTGCCCTGCCGCCGGCTAGCCCATGGCCAAACTGCGCACCCCGCACCACTGCAGGGCCCTTCACACTAACCTAGTGGACATCACAGATCTGGCCGAGTGGTCGCTGGATCCAACGAAGGGGTGCTAGATTGAAGCCCGAACGCCAAGAACAAGCCGCTGCAGGTCGAAGAACCACCGTGACAGAGGGAGGGAGAGGCTGGAGCGCTGATGGCCTGCCCACGTCGTCCGGACGAGGCGGACCACGTCCAGCCGCCACGCCTGCAGCAACAGACGCCACTATCGCCGCCTCCACAACGGAAGCAGCAACCAAGGTCATCCCGGAGTCGCTTTGTCGTGCCCACACCATAGATCTGCCCCCACATGCACAGATTCGGCTCGATCTCAAAGGTAGGTATCTAGCCAGAGCAAGAACATAATTGAGAGAAGATTGGAGTTGGGAGGAGATGTGGTGGAGGAAGGAGAAGCACGCGGGGGCAGCTTTGTTGGGCGCCGCCGCCACGGCCGTAGTGTCGGTAGCCGCAGCGGCAGCGCCAGGGCTGGCCGGGGGAGGTGCGGTCGTTGGCGGCGGGGCGTCGCCCCTCGAGTCGCTCGTAAGGGAGACGACGCGAGGAGCCGCACCGTTTCCTCGAGGTCTCGAATTGTTTGAACTTAAAGGGGATCTTCTATAATTTTACACATAAGGGGTTATTTCTTGTTTAGGCTTTCTGGGAGCTTTTAGACCTTAGCTCTGGGACCTTCTAAAAGTCAAAAAGCTCCCGGAAACCAAAAAAGACAGAGCTTTAAGGTGTCTTTCGTTGATGCACAAACATATATAAATTAAAATTAAGGCGGTGGACGTCTCAATGTTATGTAGGAGTTACAATTGAAGAGAGTGTTGTGCTAGCTCCCCAAGATCAAAGGTGTGCTAGCTAGATGGTAACTAGTAAGCAGCAGTATGCTATGTACACAATTAACCCGGCCCATTAAAGAAAGATATTGATGCATGCTCAATGGTATAAAAGCATATATAAGCATATTGAGTTGTTATATATAAAAAAGAAAGGGCTGACATAAACATACACAATAGAGAGAGACAGAGACAGACAGAGATCCATACCTCTTGTCCCCGAGGTGAAGCCTGAGATGCTCGATGAGTTGTCGCTCAGTGTCAGTTGGTATGTCAACGTTGCCCGCCACTTGTCTAAGCATATCTGTCAGAATTTTCTTTGTATTTGGACTGCGGGATACGGACACAAAAGCTGCGCAGTTAAATTGCCACTTGATTTTGGAATAAACTTGGCAAGCTAGAGTGGTCTTGCCAAGGCCTCCGAAACCCAGGATCGACACCACTTTGGGTGGTTGTGTTTTTGCTCGGCGGTCACCCGCCGCTGCCTTGTCGTCGCCCATGAGCAATTCGATGATCTCCTCCCTTGGGCCGTCGATCCCCACGAGCCTATCTGCTCCCACATATAACGCTGGTAGCCGGGGATCAACCTCCACCATACTAGTAGTGCTGCTGCCCACACGAACCTGAGCCTCCCCGTCTCCGTGGTCAAGCTTATACCTCTCGTGGCGTTGGCTCGCCTCCATGGCACGAGCTTTGAGTTGTTGAACCAGGTTTGCAATCTTGTGCCGCTCCCGTACCAGACTGATCTTGCTCTTGTCCTTGTCACCGCAGTGGAGCATGAATTGATCGATGCAATCCTCGATGTCGTAGGTCAGCTCCCGGACCATGCCCATCCATTCTTTCGTCTGAGCGTCGACCTCCTCCTCCATGCTGGCCAGCTTCACAAGGAGAGCGCTCATGCTGCTCAGCTCTTCCTTGAGGAAGGTGACCTGGCTTCCCACGCCTTGGAGAAGCTTAAATTCCATCCCTACCATGGTGGTGAGCTTGTTCAGGAGAGGATTCATCACCCCAGTCAGAGCGCTCACCACAAGTCCTGCCATTGTCTCTCTACCTTTCTTTCTTTCTTTCTTTCTTTCTTTCTTTCTTTCTTTCTCGTGATGTAAATATGAAGATTGATTTATATCAGCTAGCTAACTAGCTATCTCAAAGGGTGAATATATACACACAGGCAGGCACCACAGAAAGACTATTATTATTGCTAAGTGATGCTGCTTTATTTCCATCACTACCGTGTCTTCTCCGTGTTTTATTAGATAGATAGACACGCGTTCCTTTTCCCCCCACTTTGCTCACACAACGAAAGGCGCGTCGTTCGCTCCGTGTCCTTGACTATCTTTTCCGTGTCAGTGCTTGCAGAGATTCCATCCGTGTTTGTGTTTTATACTACTCCTATAATACTAAGGGGGTGTTTAGGTACACTTGTTAAAATTTAGTCCCTATCACATCATACGTTTGGATATATACACGTAGTATTAAATATAGACTAAAAAAATAATTAATTATACAGATTGAGACTAATTTGCGAGACGAATTTATTAAGCACAATTAGTCCTTATTTGACAACGTTGTGCTACAATAAACATGTGCTAATAATGGATTAATTAGGCTTAATAAATTCATCTCGTGGATTACTGGGGATTTTTGTAATTTGTTTTTTTATTAGTATTCAAACACCCCATACGACACCCCACGTGACATCCATTGTGACAACTGTTAAACTTTAGTCCCTATATCTAAACACCCTATAAATCATCCGCGTCCTTGACTATCAGCTCGACAAGGCCTGTTGGTGGGTACTCGTCCTATACTCTTATAAAGCAAAATCTCACTAGCAATTTTTTCTTGACATGCAAAGTGTTCACCTTAGCAGTCCATTATCACTTATATGCAAGGTATCTACCTTAGCAGTTCACTATCACTTCTCATTAGAGTTCACTAGCACTAACAATTATGATATCTAGCTGTGGAGAAGAAAGGAGAACCAACGCTCTTCAGTTGGCCCTGTTCTACAAGAGATAGAAGATCTTAGCCGTGCTGCTGATGATTTTTCTTTAGCTTATGTTAATCGATTTTGTAATAACATAGTCCATGTTTTAGCTAAGAGAGAATTCTGTATTTAACACTGAAATAAATCACTTCCGTATTTGACACTGGAAATTTTGAATTTCCTTATCTAGCGTCAACTTGAAAACTCCTTCCGTATATGGCACTTCCATCCATTTGATGCAGTAACGGTGTCAAGTGCCACCTAAAATGACATATATGACCTTCTATGTACCAGCAACATGTAGTGCCAGATAGAAAAAGAATAAATTGACATAATGCCAAATAAGGAAAGCACAAATATCACAAATATACTTATGAATGAAACATAGCATTTTGATAATTGAAGAGTGACAATAATAATCAATAAATTTGATGCACAAGCTTCATAAATCTAACCACATTGTCAGCGTACTAAAAAAAATGTAAACACCTTGCTGTGCCAGCCTGCGTGCTGTTAGTTTCTTTTACAAAGGTCTGCATGCTGTCGGTGGCGTAAATACAATACACTCCACGCGCCATGATATTTGTAGCACGTACGTACGAGTACATACGTCATCAGACAAAAAAAATCCCCACTCCATACGAATTTCATTACACAAGTCACGAACCGAGTCCGAGAAACGCCCCCAGCCCCCGGCGAGGAGGTCCAGGGCCCCCTGCAATAATGCATGACGTCACCATCGTCCGAGCAAATTGTGCTACCCGGCAAAGACAAAACCATCATTAAGCTAGCAGCGGCCCAGCAATCTGGATATATATACCAATTGACAGTTACATGTTGTAGTAGTTCTGAGTTTGTTGTTTGTGTCTTGGAGATCACTAGAACAACAAGGCAAAAGGTACCTGCTAGCTACTAGCCTACTACTAGTCAATTGAAGATTTGAGTGAATATGCATACAAACATTTCACTGCAACAAGCTAAGCTCCGGTTCAGTCAGATGCAAACAACACCAGCAGCTCTTCCAGAAAACGTAACGGTCACTGAGGAATTGGTACTGTTAGTGTTAATCATTGCTTCGAGCTTATTAACGAGTTCCTGCATGTGCCAACATATTGTTCACATTATACAGAAAAAGTTTACAGAATTGACGCATAGGGTGGGGATTGAAATAAATACTGAAAATCAAGTACCATCGATTCAGTTATGTCAGTCCCTTATAGCAGCATGCTTGCAGGGCTCTGCAGACAGAATTTTATGAGCACAACAACAAATATTTACACATGTTCGCTTGTTGGTTTCAAAAAGCCCAAACCAAGTCCAATACCAACAAAGTTTTTCCTCTCACAGAAAAACCAAAGACCACCAAAAATTAAACCAAAGACCAAAGACCAACCAAATCTAACAGGCCCCTCCCCAAGTCATTGAGCCGGGACTAAAGAGGGACCTTTAGTCCCGGTTGGTGTGAGATGTTTAGACAACGGAGAAGAATGAAAAAGAGAAAAATGTATACTGCTAGTATTAGTAGTGCAGTTTTCTATTTGATTTACATGTTCATGGTTAGAAACTAAGAATGGTATGAGATCATGAATAGTTCATGAATTTTGCATAGTGGTTCATGCCGTCCAACAGTTGGCATTCCTGTGTGTGGGTCAGGTCACGGATGGAAATTACCTAGAGAGGTTGGTTGCAGTTGCCCAGCATGAGAAGCAGTTGAACTTAACCATCAAGGTTAATCCCTATACTTATAAGCATAATTGGGGTGGCAAAGCGCACCTAGTACTAGTCAACTGAAGAAGCTAGTCAACTGAAGAAGCATACAGTTGGTTCCAATCAGTTTATTGTTTAGGCAATGCATGCAAAGGAACTTTTCTAACTAACCTTTTTCATGACCGGTTACTATAAAGGAACTTTTCTAACTAACCTTTTTCATGACCGGTTACTATACTAGACTGCATGCCTGAAAATAGCATGACTACCAAACATCCTAACACTGTACTGTGTCTGGACCATTATAAGCATGCATATAGTTGTTGTGCAATCCCTTCAGGTAAAGACGAAGCATTGACTAATGGCTACTCAGTCGCTCGAGATCTAACGGTATACTTATGTATTATAAAGAGGAGAATAAGGTAGGCAGTTGCTCCAAGATAAACACCGAGCCTCTTTCCTTTGCAGCTGCCGTGTTCAGGATGAGTCTGACTGCGAAGCAGAAAAACACTGCAGCATGTCAGCATCTACATCAGTTTCATCAAATCACAAAGGTTAAGTTGTTAGTGCTGTTCTGTGCACGCCGGCAACTCAAACAACCTACCTAGCCTATCCATGCAACTAATAGATCAGTCTGTGGTTTGCATGCACAAGCGCAATTGTCTTCTTTACTGCAGTCAGTTTTAGTTTGGTGCGAGGTGTTCAGACTTCAGCTTAAGCTGTCACTGATGATCAACGGCTTTCAGCCTCTAGACTGGATGTTAAAATATTGTACTTGTACCATTTCATGTATATACCGTAATTAATCAGTCTGCCGAGCATCTTACCTAAATACCCTTCCCTTTATTTGTCTTGCATAGGCATCAGGATTCAGGAGCTCAGGGCTGAAGTCTTCTGTTTCCTGGCTCACCTTCTCCTGCTAACCCTCAAGTGGTAGATATTATTTCTGTCACGTTATTTTCCATGCAAAATCAGTTCTTAATTCTTAACACTGATCAACAACGGTAATACCTTGCGTTCCATATTTCCATGTTTACATCAGACGTTCATTACACCAATGAGGTTTCTCTGGCAACTATACTGTCATGGAAACTTGTTCATCACTTCAAAAGAACTAGAAGCAAAATTCCATCAAGTACAAGCTTTGGAGCCACAAATTAAAAGGCCTAGCCAGCTGAAAAGGCAAATGATGGCATGCATGCCCAACCAGATAAAAATGTGCACTGCTGTGAATCATTTCAGGCTTTGAAATACAAGTCTAGAGTACTGGACGAAACATTTCATCAAGACATGCCAGTTCATCACAGGCCCAAAGAAGCATAGGAAGATCATTGCGTCTAACTTATTTGTGACAAAAACTGCACGTGCTATCTGAATGTTGTTTGATGATTCTTTTGCTTCAATTATTTATGGTTAAAAAATGGTTAGTAAAGGTGCTTTAAGCTTAATTATTTTGGTGGAAGCCAACTGGTGTTGGCCATTCAGTTGTAGTCTGATGGTTGGTTGCACAGCACAACTGCACAATTTCTTGGCTCCAACTTCATGGTAAACGTGCAGCTAATCATCACTATGTTTAATTTCAGGTGTTTCAACTAATTAATCACTAACATAATTTCGTTTTTTCAGTGAGTACTTGAAGGGCGGGCCTGGTGCAAGCGGTAGAGTCTTACCGCCTGTGACCGGAAGGTCCCGGGTTCGAGTCGCGGTCTCCTCGCATTGCACAGGCGAGGGTAAGGCTTGCCACTGACACCCTTCCCCAAACTCCGCACAGAGCGGGAGCTCTCTGCACTAGGTATGCCCTTTTTTAGTGAGTACTTGCACCGATTTAATTTTATCATTTGAGATTTATCTGATTTGTCACACCTTCATTACATCGCCAAGAAAATTCAGATTTAAGCTTGATCAGTCAAGCAGTACTAAAGCATGCACAATTGTATTATGATTCTTTACTGAAAAAGAAACCATCCCACCTCATGATTGTACTCAGTTCTGAATTTTTTGTTACTTAACATTGATGCAAGTTGAAGAAAAGTTGTGCCGACACGTTTTTTGAAGGACAAGTAGTGGAGCACAAGAGTTGTTAGATGCCTCCAAATTGGCTTCAAGCTATATCTCAGGCTTGGTTTAATTAGGATATTTCTTTTAGTCTTTCGCCACCAGGCAAACATCACCAGTTTGTGCTGAATAGCACGATATTTCTTTTAGTCTTTCGCCACCAGGCAAACATCACCAGTTTGTGCTGAATAGCATCTTTCTTTCTTGTCAAGATTCTTGCTGTTCTTTCCATTTGACTTTAGGTTGCGTTGAATTGTAAGAAACAATCTGAGCTTAACAGATTGGATACTT